ACCCCTTGAAATTCAAAATGTGACGAGATAAACAGCTAAATTTGCAGTTTTAGTAAAAAATGGCATGTCCGATCTCTCTAATTGACTCGATCCACTGTGCGGCGGGGCAGCCGTGCATTCGGGGGGGGGGGGGGACGCGGGACGCAGCGTGACAAAGCCCACGGCAACTAACCCGTAAATAAAATTGAGCGCAACTCGAGGGATGGCAGTGCAACGGGCACATGGTCAGGTACTGTTCAAATATTTCACTCCATCGCATCGCCCCGCCGTGTTGCATACCCGCCGATCTGCAGGCGGGACGGACTGCAACTCCGAGAAGCCCGCCAGCGTTGCCGTTATGTGCCTCCAGGAAATATGGAATCGGGTGTGTTTCGAAAACCGCCCAACTCCATCACCTACACGTTTCAATGGACCCATTTAGTGACTACTTCATTCGATGTAATATTGAACTCTTGGTTCAAACCAACACGAACCGTTATAACCTCATGTGCGAATTCTTCATGAGTTAATTGTGTTAATTTAATATTTTGTCATTGATCTATCATAAATCAATTAAAGACTCATTAAACAAGAAAACTTTCGATTGTAAGAAACACTGGGACGCATTTTACCACCATGGTGCAAAGGGCGCGAATCAGAGACAAGGTTCTGTGTTTGTTTACATTTGAATCAAGGGTTCGATATTATATCGAGTTAATAGCCTCTGATTCAGTCAATTAAAGTTATTATTTGAGGCCTTATGACGTAGCTCCTAACTTCAGCTGGGTTGCTCATGTATAGCTCTAGAAACACCATAACGAAAGACAAACGGAAACAACACAACATGGAAATAGAGCAAAGGTTGGAACGCGCGTTGTTGACGGCGCAGAGATCCAACTATTCGTGCTTGATGGATGTCCGTGTTGCGTCTGAAAATTTGAAGGCGCGATGGCGCAAGGCGGAAACGTGCAACACGTTGCTCTTAGCTGCCAACAAGATGTCGCTAAGATTCGAGAAAAAATTTAAAAAACGAGGCCTGCTCAAGTCTCTCCTATCTTCGGCTGGGTCACTCAAGTAGCTCTCGAAGTATCACTGCAAATAAGATACACGGAAGCAAACACAATACGGAATCAGAGCAATGGACGCGCGTACGCGCGTGCATGACGGCGCAGAGATACAACTATTCGTGCTTGATGGATGCCCGTGTTGCGTCTGCAAATTTGAAGGCGCGATGGCGTAAGGCGTGAGCTCACCATGCTCCAGCTCTATGCTGGCAATGAGGTGTCACTCAAATTCGGGAGTTTTAAACAATGAGTCCTGAGTACTTCTCTTCCGTCTTAGGCTGTGTTACACTTGATTTTTTCTTCTTTTTCAATTTGACGTCTGATTCTTTTTAGGGTGTACTTTCAGACTTATCTCTCCTTTAAGGCTCGCGTGTATCGGTACATACAACCCGCGAGCCACGTGTTTTGGCAAGCCTTAGCGGGCTGATTATTGAAATTGATAGACGAAGTGATAGATAAAGAAGACATAGGGAGTATGGAGCGATCCTATCGGTTGAAATGCATGGTTTCTAAAGACTTAGAGAGAAAATGATGGACTAACCATAGGGTCTCTTGTGGGTTGCTGTTAGTTACTCTATTACCTACCTTCTATGTCTATTGCAACCACTCGCTTCCACCAATAGGATCCCTTCATATCCCTTTTGTCTTCTTTGTCTATAGATTTGTCTATTAATTTCAATGATCAAATCAATTATCCCTCATTGGTCAATTTGACCCGGCTTGGGCATCTTAGGGTGAAACTTAAATGGAGCTTATTAATTTCTCAGTTTAAAGCGGAGTTTATGGAAAAGAGCTCATGTATTTTCGTGACGTACAGGAAAAAAAATGTGTCTTACAGAGGGCACTTAACAATTGGTAACATTTCCACGGTTTGCAATACTTACATCATACATTTAACCGCAACATTTTTATCATGAAATGTTGAAAAAGATTTAATATGGGTATCGATAATAACGATGATAATGTTACCCACCCCAGTGAGCAATTCAAGTTGTCCGATCAGTTAATTGAAAAATGGATAAATTGTGCTAGCATTGCTGGCAACGATGCTGATGGATCTTATTTCGGCGAGACACGCTACTTACAGGATAGCACTGCACGCAGAACTCATCCCTTGAAAAAGGAGAAAAAACTGACGGGTGAAGGGATGGGGATCACCCTGGCCTCAATAAATTCTTCTTCCGCGGCTGATTTTTCCCGGATACCCTGTATCCTTCACCTGTCGCTACTTGATTCATCCGATAAGATTATTCAGGCAGATTTTTAATTGCTTCCAATCCAAACAAGTCCTGTCTTCCGTGAAAGATGGGATATAACTCAATGGCTATGCATGCACAAAATTAGCACGTTAACTATTGATCCTTGCTGCAAATCTAAGCACTTCGATTAAGCAACGAACAGACTGCGGAAATTCATGTCACGTCGATGGTCGAACTGCAAAACCACGTATCTTTATTTGTAACATCATAGACATCTTATCATACTTCATTTTTTCTTTTAAACGCTAGTCAACGTTATTTCTTGAACTCCTCCTTAATTTCTTTTTCTATTAGCAAAATATTTTGTATTTCAAGTTATAAAGTTAGGTTGTATTCCTTCAAAAATATGAAATAGGAGCGGAAATATTAAAACGCCGCAATTAAGATACGCAGTTTCGCACTTTGGCCATCGATGTGTAACGGAACTATGTGCAATATGACGTAAGCTCTGTTATGCATTTAATCTTATGGGCCTCTGGGTTCATATCTTAATGCACACAGCTCCGTTTAGCAGAAATACGTATATTTATAAAATAAAGTATGACATGAAGTCTGCAACGTCGCAAACCAAGACACGTGGTTGCGGACTTACACCGTCGATATGGAGTCCATACAGTCGTGTTGCAATGACAGCGAGCCGAAGTCATGTCTTTCTAACGAACTCTTAGCTCTAAGTGGGACGATAGCGTCGAGTGCGGATTTTTTAATATCTTCGATAGATAATGGCGTTGGAAACTTATCCATTTCGCATGACTATAGCGATGAATATGGTGTTTTTAATTATCTGATAAACATTTAAAAACACAACACTGTGCAGCAAAATTGGTCAAGTGTTAAATCACTTGCGAAAAACACAAAATGAAATTCTACATTATACCGCACCGAGTACTCGGTGTCCGAATATCGAAGAGTAACGATATTAATCGGAATCAGCGGCTAAGTTGAGGGCCGGATCTAGGGGGTGGCCACATGGACCGCGGTGCATGGCGGCAAATTAAGGGGGCGGCAAATGTTGTAATTTTTTCAAATGTAGGTATCAAGAAAAAAATCTGATTCAGAAAAAAAAATTACAAACGAGAAAAGGCGAAAAATCTCTCATTTCCTGAGAGTTAAAGTATAGTAATTTCTAATTTGTTCGTCTTTTGGTGATACAAGAGACAGCGCCTTTCATTATTCTAGATGAGAGAGAAACCAAGCACCCAATTTGGCCTGGAGCGGCGCGGCGCATAGAGCAATGATGACGAGGATTTGAGATGGAAAGGAGAAGCTCCCGGCGCGCCGGTCAGCATGATACACGTATGAGCGCCTGCAAGACTCCATGAATACTTCACGCATTGCGTCAAACGTAGCGCGGTCAGCAGCGGTCGGCGTGAAACGCATAGCGCCTACAAGACTGCATGAATACTTCAGGCATTGCGCCAAACAGTGCGGTTGGCGCGGTGGCGGAAATTAAAATCATTAAACCACATTCGTGTTTATTCTTTCATAATTGTTTCGTTCTTTTCTTATAAATGAAAGGCCTCGTTCACACAGAGATAGGTTTACGGAACTTAATTTTCGTGCAAAGTTCCGTAAACTTTTGCAAGTGTTGACAGGGTTTTCAAAAAAAAATGTGCTCAACACGAGTAAACGCGTCTTATGCACCCCTCCTTCTCTGGCACGTTCACTTGATGGTTTGTATCGATGTTTCAAAACGAATGAGAAGGGGCGGCAAAATACAGGCGGCCTATGGGCGGCAAGTAGGTAGATCCGGCCCTGCAAAGTTGCACGAATGTTTCGGAATTTGGAGGCAAGAAAATTTTTAAAAATAACGCCATCTATATCCCCTCCCATTTCTTTTATTTTATGTGCTCCATGCTAAGGAACGACTCCATGTTAATGAAGTACGACCTATTTTACATGGGTAAACCGATCAAGAATCGTATAGAACGATTGATGTATGGATCGTATTCGACAGCGCTTCGATCTATCGTTTGGTTCAAAACAATAGAACATAACCTCAAACAAAATTTTTGGTTACAGTTTAGAGAAGCTGAAAAAGAGGAAAATTGCTCACAATTTCACCTTTCACTGCCTCTCATTGGAAATACAAAATCAATCACCAGAATCCGTTCCCGCAGATTACTCGATTGACTTTGAGGCTATTTCACGGAACTGACGACTGGATCTGCAGAAACAGATTCTACTCGACCTTAATCCCTGAAAATTTGAGAGCCGGAGCGTGGATGTACCAAAATTCCCATGATGTCTACTGACAATACCCATGATGTCTTTTCCACCCGACGCAATCGCCAAATGTTAGTAGTGGGTGTTTTATTTCATTTTTTTTGTTTTGTTTTTTGTTTGTTTGTTTCTTACCTATTTGCCTGTTGTTACCTATTGTACACTAAAACGAGAATAAATTCATTCACTCATTCATTCATTCAAAAAAATAAAATAAAAATACTGTCTATTGTTGGCTGTAGGGGGGGTATAAGCCATTAAACCTGCAAAAATAAAAAATAAAAAATAAAAGACTTTGAGGCTATGTTTACATGTCCAGCCAATCGATTTCGATACAATCTCACCCGTTTATGCATCGAACACGATCCATTCGAAATTCCCGCCTCCGCGAGTTCATGACCGGCGCCGAGACGCAGGACTGCGAGCGCCGCCTAACGGCCGGGCGCCGAACGAATATCGATCGGTTTACCGCGCCACGAGCCCAACGCGACGACGTAAATAGTCCGAATTTATACGTTCTCGGTCTGTGCTCGAAGTTTATTATTGTTTTGCGGATTGCGTCTCGCGGTGAGCTTAAACTTCTCGTACTTTACACTCGGGATCCGGTTATATTGTGCCCCGTGCCTAGGTCAAGTTGTGAGGTGACACGTCGTGCTTCGACCAGTGGCTCGTGTCTCGGTTGCGGATCACCTCGGTAAGTTTGTTTGACATTTGACGGGTCCCAGGTAAATGAGACCCAACAGTTGGTTTTTGGAGGATGTGCTGGAAAACCGAACGGGACAGAGAGACCGACGAGTCTTTTTAACTGTCGCGTTTACTGCACTTGGAATGTATGCTCATCTGGGGATCAATCTTGCGTAGTCACTAGTTTCGACGTTAAAAAGTTTAATTATATTAATTAATCAACCATGCGGAAAAATCGTCATTGCAGATTCCTCGCTCTCGATGTTAAGACATTGTCCGATGTATCGAGATGAACTGCAGATTTACTTCGTTGTAGTATCATTCTTAGTGATATTTGTAAACTCTTAGGAACTGAATTCATACGTGAATATTTCTGTTCTATGTATTTTTGAGAACATCTTTTATGGCCTCATGGTGGTTATTTTAAGTCAAGCAATGCGTACCATATCTAAAATTTTGTTGTTATTTTTGATAATGCTGTTTTTTTTCTTCTTAGTCGATTTGAAGTATAGTGAAATTCAACGAAGACAATGCTTCAACGTGTGCGTTATTCTGTACACAAAATTAGTTATTGTATCTCTTGCTCTTCACTCCGAAATAATTGCAGATTTACTTCGTTGTAGTATCATTCTTAGTGATATTTATAAACTCTCAGGAACTGAATTCATACATGACTACTTCTGCTCTATGTATCTTTGAGAACATCTTTTATGGCCTCATGGTGAATATTTTTAGTTATACAATGCGTGCCATATCTAACATTTTGTAGTTATTTTTGATAATGCTGTTTTTTTTCTTATTCAGTATTAAACCATCATAGTTAACTAAACACGAGTTCAGTCGAGTTTGAAATGAAAACTGATTATTACAATTGCGGAGGAATTTTGAGATGTTTTGCAGCCATGACTGCATTCATTGCTTTATTACACGTGTAAAAAGTCGTGAGGTTGTAGTAATATTGTGTAATGTCCGTGATGGTTGTAAAAAAAAACCATCGCGTGAAAAGACCATTGGTATGGAAGAAACTGAATTGTATGAAACTGAATGAGACTCCTTCATTTTGTTTGTTCTGCAATTTGAGCGACTCAGGCATCGATATAGTTGTATCGCTCATTTTGATCTTTCAGCGTGGTTTTCAAGGGAGGTTGAATGGAAAGCAGAACTGGAAACGCTGCTTACGAGATGAGTGTGATATTTTCGAGGAAAGTTTAGGCATTTTGAGTTATTCCTTTCTGGGGGTTTTCCGGAAGTTAGTCTAACATTTTGTTGCTTTCCCCTCCACTACTTTTCCCTACTCGTGTCGCTAAAAAACTAGTCATTAACTTGCGACCCAAACTATCCTTCATGACCCGAAATCTACATCGCATTGCTTCTCAAGTTTTTCACATTTGACGTTAGCAAGAATTCTGTGTCCAAATTTTCGAAGTAAAGAGACTAGGAGACTAAAGTTACGAAATTACCCTTAAAATAAAGTGCACAGCTGGATCGATACCTTTAATGGACGAAAATGTCCTCTTTAAAGTCCCCTCTCTCATTTTAGAAGAGATCACAGTCCAATGGTATGACTCAAACTTTCACATTACTCCTTCAAAGTACCTTTAAAGGAAGACTATAGCTCAGACCACTTTCGGAAGGCTCAGATCCGGGTATGTACAAATATTCCCCATGATACTGAGATTGATTCTACATCAATTTTTTTTTTTCTAAAGAGATAGAGGCTTTGAACTCACCATTACGCGTCCTCTTAGATATTGACGTCTGGAATTGTTTTTAGCATCTTGAATCAAAACCAATATTTGAAGAAAAAATTCAAAAAAATAATCAATGCCCAATTTAGATGAAAAACAATCGAGGTATCAGCCAACGTGGAATGGAGCTACTTAAAATTTAGGGATGAAGTTCAGTTTTATACAGTCTACAATATTCAGAGCTAATACCTCATCAATATTTTTGTGTTATGAAACTTACTGAAAGTTATTGTCAAATGAGAGTTTCTTTTTTACCATTTTGAGGTTGGCCACTCTCTTTAGACCTTAACTCAGATAAAAGTATGAACCTGAAATAAATTGTTATATTTTTTTCAATTTTATTCTTCAATATTTATTTTTTTTTATTTAAAACTGTAATATAATCCTTCATCAATCATGTCAAATTCCGTATTTTTTCTTGTTCAAAAAATTCAATATCGCTGTTTCTGGTATTTTCCTCAGTATACGGCGTAAGCAGTATAGTAAGCAGTATACGGGTAAAGGTTAAAGTTGAAGGGATCTTTTTTCCGAATATCGGGAAAAATTTCAGTGAAGTTGGGAGCAGTTGCAATGCGGCCTCCTCTGAAAGTATTTCAACATTTTCCAGCCAGGAAAATACATTTTTGAGAGACGCGCTGAAGTGTAGAGAGAGAGAGTGAGGGGGAAAGAGAGAGAGACCAATCGGTGATAGAAATAGTCATGGTGATATTTTTCTGATAAAAACTCTCGAGATCTCTCGCGCGGATGCAAGGAATGGACAAAATAGGTGTAAACTAACAAGGGAACGCGACACGTAATTGGGTTTGCTTTGCACCCTTCGCTTCGCGGAAGGTTGAAAGGGTTTATAGCCGAGAAGGACTTTTACTTTTCTTTTGAATGGGGCCTCTTTCGTGAATATCAATAATTCATCGTGCTTGTATTGTAGGACGGATTACTGCGTGAGAAAGCTTTTATTCTCTGCCACACTGTTCCAAGGGTGCCGAATGGCATCTGAAGTCCTCGCATATTTGCACACTATTGAGTTGTTTTCAAAACACGCGACTCATCTTGCCAAGTTTTTCAATATTTCACAGAATATATTGTCTCTGACGTGAATAAACTTATCACGTGTAAATCAGAAATATTTGACTGAATCCACGCACGTGTCATCGTGACGATGATTTTATTTAAAATCTAGTGATTGGTTTCATTATCATAGACTCAAAGTTTTTAATGGTTCTCTCAATTAGCATAAAGTGTAACTTTGATGGAGCCAGGGTGGGCCTGTTCTCACCCAGAATTTGAAACGGGTCAAATATCCCTCCCTGTTTTCCCCAGAAAATCTGATCGACAGACAATGGGCTAAAACCTGTACGTTTTTCTCGCCTAAGATAGAAAAGCGGAGGACGGAGTTCGAGATATGTTTCGAGAATTATTAGTAGAGTTGAACCTTAAGCTACACTCGGCTATACATTTTTCACAAGAATTGCCTCAAAATGCATTTAATAGAGATAAATTTTCCAAAATTTTCAAGTAGATTTCACCCAAAACCCTCTTAGTACTAAAAGGATTCACTGTCAGGCTATTTCTCAAGAAGTGAGAGCTAGGAGACCTCCAGAAAATACTTTTAGGTACGTACGTGTTTGTCCCTTAGAAATCAATCAAAAATCTATAAAAGCTCTAAATAAACCTCATTGTAAATTTTGCGGCCGAGGGGGGAATCACATTTCCTCTGTGAGCAGTATTTATTTTGCCCTCAAACAGGCAAATCCTTTTAATCCAGTGTGCTTCCATCGGCGCCTTAAATTTTCACACAGGGTCTACTAGAGTACCTGAATACAGGAGAGTATTGCCTAGTGCTATCTCAATCCTTTTACTACATAAAAAGTGTGCCGCTTTCTGTCTGGTCGACTATCATGGAGCCCTTTCGGATGAATGTAAACAAAACCCAGCCCCTCCGCTCCTAGTTTGGCCCAATGTAAACAAACAAGATGGCGAAAAAGTTCTCCAAAGCTCTAGACGTGATTTTGGGTGTGATAGAAATTTTTTTATACCCTAAGTCTGAATTGAGTTCGGATCGAACTTTGATGAATATTTTTGCCGAAAATTAAACTTTGAGTGTGATTATTATTCAATTCTCGGCCGATAATGTGTGTTCCTCTGGGTAGGGTTTGTTTACATCGGGCCAACTTTGGAGCTCCATGATAGCCTAAAACTGATGAACCGCAATCAGAGAGCGGCTCAGAGATGGTAATACTCTCCCGTATAAGCACAGGTACTGTAGGGTCTACAAATGGCAAACCAATCAAAGAGCGGCACTAAAATGGCAATACCCTTCCTTTATGTGTATTCTCGTCTAAATGTATCCGGGGCAAGGAAAAGTATGGTTAAATTAGGCAACAGCGACCCTCCTCCAGGGGCGCAACGGTTACCCTTTCCCACCCTTTGAATCGACCTAGTCGGTACGCGCCCGAAGCCCGGCCGAAAGTTCGATCACTCCTAATTTTCGAGTCACAACTAATCATCGCGTTTACGACCTAACGAAACGCGAGCGCGACGTTAGTTGGCAAGGGAAATTCGCCCTTTAAAAAAGGCTACACATTGGATCAAAACGAATGGAATGGAAGAAGGAAAAAAAGATTAGAAGGGTTGATCGCTGTATTTCAGTAATCAAATGAATTCAAGTTGTAACTGTAATCGAGACCCGTCCTGAAGTTATACTGAGACCTGTTCTGGCGTGCTAAGGAAGAACGCCGTATGAAAATTCGAGAGTTGCCACATTTCCTTCAATAAAATGTTTATTTTTTAGGGAAGTTATGAATATCTTCTCTTGAAATTTTCAGGAACTTTAGGCGAAGTTGCATACAAAATTATTTGAAAAATCAAAAGGAAATTTTTCATAAATTTACCAGGAAATTCGTGTTTTATCAATGGAAATTTGGCAACGCCTGAAGGTACATACGGCATTTTTCCTTAGCACACTTAGCAGTATTTCCGCGCTCCCGATTTTCCATTACTAACAAACATTCGCCTATTTAAGAACATATTTTGTTATTTTAGCTCTGGTTTTCCGGACTTAATGCTTATTCCAGCGTAGCGTCGCACTCTGGGTCAAGTCAATAAGTAAAGCCGGATAAAATTTGGAAACTTTGAAAGCTATATTTTCGAAATCATTAAACAAAAAAGTTTAAAACTTGAGATTCGTTCCATTGGTTTTTTCGTGAAATTTCCCTTTAGATACACCCCCTGATATTGACGTTATGACGAAATCAACATAAAAATT